ATTCACCTCTTCACTTGCTTAAGGTAGTTAAGGAGATGGAGTGATTGATTAAATCACCACCACCCCTTACACTTATATTATGCTTGTATTCTTTGTAAGTTACCTTTATCCTGTTTTATTCTGCCGTAACCCCAAGAAGTAGGTAGTACTGATAACATTACTTTTTTGAGCCTCAGTTTCCTCATCTTACTGATGAGGATAATAATAGCACCTAGCTCATGGGGTTGTTGTGAGGATCAGATGAGATATTGCCTATAAAGTGATTTGTGACCCTTGAACAGCACCTTTTATTCCTATTTTACAGATAAGGAAACTAAGATTCAGCAAGGTTCAAGAATTTGCCCATGGTCACATGGCTAATAAGTAGCAGAGCTGGTATTCAAATCCAGGCCCTCTGCCAAATCACCTGCTTTCCCCCCTCATTATACCGTCCTGCTTTTACTCTGAGATTCTTCCCTTTCTAACGGAAAAGCAGTATTTTTCCTGGAAAGATTTTGGCTGGAGTCAGAGACCTTCTTTCTCTGTCTCCATCACCGCTCTGTAAATTCTTTTGTCTCTCAGAGACTCAGTTTCTTCATCTGAAAAGTGAGATTTCAGCTCTCCAGTTCCTACAAAACTTAAGCGGTATGAAATAAGAGTAAAGAGTAAAGAAGGAGCCTGGGGCTAACAAAAAGAAAGATGTCTGGTGTCTCTAGGAAGGTGGTTCAGCTCTGCACAGCCTGAAAGAGAAATGTGATGTAGACTTTAAAGAGATTCAGAAGAAGAAGCTCAGAGTGGTTGGGAAAGCAGGCGAAAGAGCCTGGGACCAAGAAGTGGGAGGGAGGGGAGACGGGACAGGACGGGACTGGACAGAGAGATAACAGTGTTTGGCTGGTGGTGTGGGGGGAGGGGCAGGGTTTGGGTAGAGGTCTGGGAGTAAGAACCTTCACCCTCCCCTCTCCTGTGGTGACCGCCAATGTGGGGAGCTAGCAGCCAGCTGGCTGTTCTGCCTCACACCTGGGTTTGTAAATATGATAACATTCAGTTTATTCAATTAAACATTAGTGTCTTCAGGTAGACCTTTCTATTTTTCTAGTGTGGCATCTTGCCCTTCTAGCCAAGGCATTCATCACTCCAGCTGACCCTTTTTCTATTGTAGAAGTCCATGGGGGTAGAGGGAGATGGCAGGAAGAGAAGGAGGAGGAGTATTTTAAGTCTGTATTTTCAGTGTCATTTTCTTCCCCATCCATTAAAGAGACCTTATGTCTCTTGTAGATTGTATCTTGGTTCTCACTTGTGTTTTTCCGAGTTGACTCCTCTAAGCACCTGCTACTTCTTTGTACTCCTCTTCAGCAAGTTGGCCTAGTTTCCAGCTTGGTGTACAATTCCCATTCGAATTTCAGGGCTTTATGCTGCACTTAGTTCTACCAATTAAGTGTCTCGCCCCTCCTATCTTGATTCTGTATCAGGACAGTCTTTTCTTATGCCTTTAATATTGTTCCTTTGAGGAACATCCAGATTTCCTCTGCTCTTTTGTTGCTTAAATGTTCTTCCCCTGGGACCCTTGACAATATTCCCAAGCCTAGCAATTTCAGTAAATGCTTAATAACGTAATTTCAGTTGCTTCTATACAGGCACCTCCAGGACTCCACTTAGAGATCTCAACATGCAGTGTTCCTCGGTTTTTTCGCCTCCCTAGAAAGTTCAGTTCAGTCACTCATTACACAAAGCCCATAACCTCCCCACAAGAGAACAAGGAGGAACACACAGCTACCTTTATTTACCTTAACAAGGAAATATGTAGTAAAACCGGCAGTTTAGACAGTGTGCTTAACTCACTAGTGTCCCTTTGAGGAGAAATGGGATTGTTGATAGGAGTGCATAATTTCAAGGGGTCCCTCTCACTGGTCGTGGGCAGTCCCTCCAGCAGTGCAGATAGCAGTCTTCTTCTTCCCGTCCAGTTCTTCTGTGTGCCCTCCTGAAAATCCTTTCTACATGATCTTCAATATCTACAATATCTGTGGAGGTCTTTGCTGCTTCACTGAAGTTAACACTGGCAGACCATTGTTGTACCTCACACTCTGTATCGCCAGCCCATTTGTTTTTCTGTGCATCCATTTCCAGCATACCTTTTGCATCACAGATAATATGCTTCAGCCTATTCATGCCCACCACGTATCTTGGGTTCCATGATTTGCAGCCATAGAGTATTGACAGAGTGGATAGAGTGCCAGGGCTGGAGTCAGAAAGACTCATCTTCCTGAGTTCAAATTTGGCCTCAGACACTTATTAGCTGTGTGACCCTGGGCAAGTCACTTAACCTTGTTTGCCTCAGTTTCCTCCTCTGTAAAATGAGCTGGAGAAGGAAATGGGAAACCCCTCTGATAATGTCTGCCAAGAAAGCCCCAAGTGGGGGTCACAAAGAGTCAGACATAACTAGCTGACTCATCAACACATGTCCATTTCAGGATCTCCCAAATTAGACACCATGATTATAAGTTCTTTCCTAGCACATAATTCTAAAAGAGATAATGCTTCACAGGGGACAAAATGTTGGACTTGGAATCAGGAAGTCCTGGGTGCAAGAATCTTGCCTCAGATTTACTAGCTATATGATTCCGGGCAAGTCATTGTACATCTCAGAGGTGAAATTTGCTCGTCTCTAAAAGGGGATAATAATAGTACCTACTTCACAGGGCTATTAAAAAAATCAGCATGGGGCAGCTAGGTGGTGCAGTGGATGGAGCACCAGCCCTGGAGTCAGGAGGACCTGAGTTCAAATTCAGCCTCAGACACATAATACTTCCTAGCTCTGTAACTCTGGGCAAGTCACTTAACCCCAATTGCCTCACTAAAAAAATAAATAAAAATCAACACGTAAAGAGATCATGTATATAAATCCTTACATCAGTTTTAATTATTACTATTTGAATAAGGACATAGGAGTACTGCCTAGATCGTGAATGTCTTATTGTCATCAGTAAATACTTCCCAGGAACTTGGAGCCTCTCCTGCCTCTGCTTGCTGTGGCCTCTACTTGATGTTGCTTCCATGTTGTTTTCCCTATATGTTGACCTTTGTGACTTCATGTTTGTTGACCTCACTTTAAATTCTGTTCCTGTTGTAATTATAGTTTGGTAGTAAACTTATATAACTGAATCCTGTGGACTGGCTAAGCCTGGTTTTCTATTTTAACTTTAAGGTCATTTAATACAAATGTTACATGGTATTAGACTCAAGACCTGTGAGTTATGCCTCCAGCACAGTCCATTTCCATCCCCACCCCCCACCCCTCAGACTTATGGTGAACTGCAGACGACTCCGCTTTGGGCATGTAATTTTGTGGTCATCTGCTTACTGACTTGATAGCAGAGTACACACCATATGTTCCTGGTTTTTATGGGTTAAAGTTAAAATCACATGTGTGATGCAAATCCAAATACATTATGTATGTTACTTCTCCTTTATCTCAAGGTCCATGTTCTTGTCTTAGAAGGCAATTAAATTAGGCTAACACAGTATGTTCTTAAACCTTGTTGGTGCCTGTCAGTCACTATGTCATATTCTTCCAGGTATTTGCATGTTGAAGTTTACATTCCAAAGTTGTGTGTGTGTGTGTGTGTGTGTGTGTGTGAGTCTCCTTCATTAAGGAGAGTCATCATTTTGACCCATTTGTAATCTTTTGGCATTTCTTATGACCGCCATGAATATTGGCCCGAAATTTGGGGAGCAGGGATTCCAGGGCCTAACTCTGCCATACTAGTTTTGTGCAACTGACTTCTTAGCACCTTTATGCTCTCATTTGTAAACTGAGAGGATTGAACTATATGATATTTAAAGTTCTTTCCAAGTCAAAAAGTGTAAGTTCTGAAAATTCCTTAATACACTAGGTACTAGGGTGTTTGACTTTAATGATTGAGACAGCAGGTGGCTCAGTGGATTGAGTGCTGGACCTGAAATCAGAAAAGACTTGAGTTTGAATTCTACCTTAGATACTTACTAGCTGTATAACCCTGGGCAGGTCACTTAACTGCTATCTACATCAATTTCTTCATTTGTAAAATGAGAATAACAATAGTGTTTGCCTGCAGGGTGGGAATTGGAGAATTGAGAGAACCACACTGACTCCATCTTGTGACTGAATTCTGGATCCAGCTCGGTCACTTTCTATTCAGTTGTGGGTTTAGTCCAATTCGTGTCTTGTGAGAAAACTTTATTGAATTATGGGAATTGTGAGAAAACTTTATTGCGTTGTTTGAATCTAGCCTTGCATGGCTGGGAAGCTGGACCACCCCTACCTGTTGCTCAGAGACCCTTAACTAAGGAGCTAGGATATGCTGACCAGAAACTGAGTCAGATCTGAAGATTGATACAAGGCATTGTCTCACAGTTATACATCCCAAACAACCCAGAAGTCTTATCTGAAAACTAGCAGTGTACTGGTCATTCAGTTATTGTTTTCTTGTTCCTTTGATTGAATACAGGTGTGTGTGTGTGTGTGTGTGTCTGTGTGTGTGTCTGTGTGTGTGTGGCGGGGAGATTGGGACACCTCTTCTGCTGATTTCAGGGAATTGCGCCTGTTCGGCTCTTCCCCTCCCAACTCAGAAAGCCCCTGATCTTTCCTCCAGTTAGAAATCAGATGACCTAATCTTGTATCCTGCTTTATATCCTGTTAATTGTTGTCTTTTAATATATAAAAATCTGTCTCCCCTTGTATTTGGAGTCCACTGCCAAGCTGAGGAGGCCTGGTCTCACTTTGTTATGCAATTGGCATACATTGCTTAATAAATCAATATGCTTGGAAGGTTGAACCTTTGTTTCCTCAGTCATTTCAGATTTCCCCCATCACAGTTGTGACATATGTTCACATGTTAAGCACTGTGCAGATCTCAAAGTGCTTTATGTAGGTGGTGGCGGTGCTGGTGGTAGATGTTGTTGCAGTTACACTTTTGGCTTACAGGAACTTTGACACATTCAGTCCTGATACAACACTAACCTAACATTTCTCTGGTTCTCTCTAGCTGGTGCTGATCCTCAGAGAGGCGTTTTGACAGAAGGGCTAACGGTGCTCTTCTTGCACCTGGCTGGGGCAATGGAGCTTCCCAACTACAGCTGCCAGTTGCTGCAGCAGCTGTATACGCTCTGCAAGGAGAGACAGTTCTGTGACTGCACCATTTCTATTGGGACAGTTTATTTCAGGGCCCATAAACTGGTCTTGGCTGCTGCCAGCCTCCTCTTTAAAACATTGCTGGATAATACAGACACAATCTCTATCGATGCATCTGTTGTGAGTCCAGATGAGTTTGCTCTCCTGTTAGAAATGATGTACACTGGCAAGCTCCCTGTGGGCAAACACAACTTCTCCAAGATTATCTCCTTAGCTGACAGCCTGCAGATGTTTGATGTGGCAGTTAGCTGTAAGAATCTGCTCACCAGTCTCGTGAGCTGCTCTGGTCCAAGTCAAGTAATAAGAGATGCTTCCCCTCAGACAGTGGAGCCGTGCAAAAAGGACACTGATAGACTGCTGGTTGAGAATCCTTCCCCGAAGAATGTGCTTGTGTCTTCCCAAGAGGTTCCATCCCCTCCTGTGGCTCTGAAGGCTGACACTGTGGTGGTGGTCAGTGCAATGACACAAGAAGCTGGGGGCATGACTCCTGCCGTGGAGCAGCAGGAGCTTGATATGAATTCTGCTGTTGCCCAGGAAGAGGCTCTGGAGATTGAAATGAAGAGCCCAGCTTCACCAACAGAGACTGCCAACATCCCCCAAATGCATTCTCTTTCTCCTGGGAAAGAAGTGGTGGATGAGGAGGTGGAGGAAGAGGAGGCGGTGGCAGCAGCATGTACGTCTCAGAAAATGACAGAGAACATCACAGAACCAGGTAATTGGCCTCCAAGGCCTGCTTGAAGTCTGGCCTACCATTGTCAGTTGATTTCTGTGCTGTGTTTTATTTATATTCTTAGACTCGCCCTTTAAACCTAAGCTTTATGATGTCACACATTTTTGTAAGAGCCCATTTCTTCTGCCACATGCTTCACTTCTTTACCTTTTGCTATTTGAGTTGTGTGCATACATAACAGTTACTGCCCTTTCCTATCAGTGGGACGGAATTGCAGTTGTTATGTGCCGGTCTCTCTTCTCAGCACATGCCTTTCTGGGGTGTCCAGAATGACTCATTATAGACGCCTCACCAGAAAGGTGACGTCCAACTGAAGACATTTTGGGGCCATTACGGCTCCCGAAGACCAACTCCATAGCCATGGAGGGAGTGACTGCAGCCTGGCTTGGTAGAGGGACACCCACCCCAACGAAGTCACAGCTCTGTTGGAGTGCTAAAGCATAGCAGCTGGTGGTCTTCGACACACTCTGCTCTGTTAGCAGCCTTCTAGAGGTCCGGCTTAGCTATGTTGCAATGACCGGCATCGATTTCTTTCGGTGTGAAGCGCTCAGATCTTCTGGGCAAGGCTGAGCTCTCTTCCTCTTGGCACACTTCTGTGAGATTCTCAGATTTGTCCTGTTCTCCCAGTTTGCATCTAATAGAGGCAGCCCTCCTCACTCTCTAGGAAGGGGGCCTGTCAGCAGTCTGAAGACAAAAGACAAACAGGAGAACAGAAACATTAGTAAGCCCAACAACAATGTGCCATTTTGGATTGATGCTCATTGTTTTAACCATGCTGAGTGTGGCACAAAGGAGGAAGCTGTGAGTGACATTCTTGTCCTTATTGTACCTGACATTCTGGAGAGCAGCTGAAAGATGTGCCTGACCTAAAGACTTGCAGGCAGCTTAAACTTCCATTTAATCCCTTCAATTAATGACGCACTGATCTTGTTTCTCACATGCAGAGCATGAGAGGAAGTTGTCTAAGCTGGATTTCCTTCTGCAAAATGAAAGCATCTTCTCTGAAGCACTCTCTGTTGCCCAGGATGTGCTGAAAAAACTAGACGAATGTGGAGACATTAAAAGTCCCCATAAGGAGGTATGTGCTGCTTTCTTCCTATCAGTTGTACTTTTAACATATCTCAGCCAATCTGGGAAGCAGGTATGCAGTGTATACCATGTGCAAGGTATTGTCCTGCATGGTCAGGATAGAAAAACAAAGCAAAGAAATGCCCCCTGCCCTCAAGGAACTTACATTCTACTTAACAATCTTTATCAGCTTGCCGTGAAGCCCAGCAAAATGAATATGCAGAATATTCTGATAATACAGATTTTTCTTAAATTATATTTCATTTTCTTAGTTTTTATTCTTATAGGATCTTTATACTGTATTGATCTGAAGATAGGCCATGCTCCCAAAGTATGGGCTCTTTGAAAGGAAAAAAAAAATACATAAGCATATGATGAAAAAAATTCCATTAAATTACTGTATTTTAAACATGTTTTTATCATTTAAAATTTTTTTTAAATTTCTTTCAATTCAAATAGAGACTTTTAATTTTTTAAAATCATTACTTTTGTTGTTACTTTCATTGTTACGGTTTTATACAAACTCAGGTTTTATACAAACCAGATTTTGAAAGAAGCCCAAGGCTTGCTTATGTTTTGACTTATGGTATACCACCAGATAATCCCTGGTGATGAGGAATGTATATTCTCATTGCTGGGATGATGCAGGTAATTAAATCAATGGAATCAGTTTTATTGTTTATTCCCTTGAATATAAATTGTTGTGTTTTCTGGAAAAATAGCTAAGCTTCATGGCTTCTGTATTAAAAGGGCTACCCAGTTACAAAGGCCGCATTTTGGGACTCTTTGCGCACCCCTGTTATGTGGAAGGACTTTGGAGTTGTTATTTTTCTCTGGCTGGTCAGTCCAGTACTGCTGTTTTATTAGTATATATTGACTTGATGTTTTATAGTCTTTTTTTTTTTTAATGTTTTACAGTTTTAAAAAAGTAATCCCCTTGAGGCTTCTTCCCTACTTACCTGTCCAACCGTAGGGGAGTCCCCAGCCCAGGAACTAGATTCTTGATTACTTGATACGTCTGACTCCCCAGAGGAGAGGCATGATGTCTGTGGGAGAGGGTAGGAGGGAGGACTGGATTTAGGGAGGCCATACCCTGTACATTCATCTCTATTAAAAGGTAGCAGATAATCACCATGTCTTCTTCATTAACTCCTCCAGCTGTTTCAGAAGACAGTTTGAGCCCGTTTCTCCTTAACGTCTGTCTTTCTCAAGGGTATAGAAATCTTACCTTTTTGTTTACGTATTCTTTTTGGTGGAGACGATTCTAGAGCATTGGTGGTATCATCGAAGATGATTATCAGATGCTTGTTGCTTCATTTAGTTTTGCTTTATATTCCTAGGTTTTGTTTATCTTCCAAAGAAGTTAGATCATTTCATTGTTATCTTATTATTTGTCAGAGAGTTTTATTAAACTCAAAAAAGTTTCATTCCTTTCCTAAATACAATCTTACTCTTTTTGAGGCTTGCATTTTACACATTGTTCTGAAGGAGAGGGACCAGAGGTTTGGCCTATGCTAGTTGTTACTGCTTTGTGTATTTCTTCCTTGAAATTAGTTTGTGAAATAACCTTGCGCTGAGTTTGAGGAGGACACCTTGCACTGATGTCCTCCTGATTTTGTTTGCTAGGGATAGATGATGAAAAGTGGCAAATCTATTCTCCGAGCAGTGATTGCAGTAACACAAGCAAAGGCTGGCTTGCTGAAGATGGTGTGAGACCAAACCCAGACTGATTAAGGAGTCTCCAGGGCCTAGAATTGGAAGGTGTCTTTATCTCAGAATAATATCACGTGCCACTTAGATAGACAGGGACTGTCTTTGTAGCATTTATTCTGGGAGCAAATTCATATTTTCCTATTGCTTTTGTGCCATAGTTTATATTAATTTTCCTTCCTTTTTTCTGACCATTTTCATTTTCTTAGTGAATTAGATGTAATATGGCATCTTTGACTAGAGTTAAGAGAGAGCTTTCCCTCTTTTTGCTGTTGATTTCCTAGCTTTTACATTTTTTCCTACTTTCCCCACAAAGATCTGGAGAGGTCCCCAAGGTCATAGGATCATAGGTTTAGAACTGGAAGATCTAAGATGGTCATTTCCCCCTTTACACATTTTTGTCTAAAAGGCAGATAAGTCTTTTCTTCTCCGTAAATCTGATGTGTTCTACAGCAAGTAGTCCTGCTATAATAGAGGATTATCCGGCATACGCTTGTCTGTTGTCCATTCCCTGTTTTGACAGTGTAGAGTCAGCTCTGTTGTGAAATGAGTACAGGGAGCGAGATTACTTGTATGAGTTCTGGAGGGATGAGGAAAAAAGCTGTTCTTTGCCCTGTCTCTCTGAGTCCCTACATAGTTAGGATGAGAAATGCAGCCAGAAGTACCACCAGAGTACTGGTAGCCTTCTAGAAAGGAAGGATAGATGGACTTAATGATATCCATCAAGTGATTGGAGACAAATCCTCTTAGAAAGGCCAGCAGAGGCTGGGATGATCTGATTCCTACTCACACTTTGGTGCTGGAGGCAGAACCTGGAGAAAGGGTAAGGTGTCCTACACAGTGAGATCAGTGGCTCTTTAGAGCACACAAGGAGAAAGAGGAAAATGAAGACTAGCATGTGATTGCAAAAGTCTGGAGACGGGGCAGGCAGAAGGGCTGGGATTTGGGGAAGAAAGTAATCCTGGTTGAGTCCCAGGTGATGAGGGGAAATTAAAGTAACTTTTCACATGATGGAGTGGGAAGAGAACATGGAGAAGTCACCCTTTTTTTATATAAGGCCTGAGTCTAGGGGTGGATGTCAGCTCAGTGCCCGTTGGTTTAATGCACTGCCTTCACAAAAGGGCAAATCTGTTGTTTGTATGGTTTTTTCCTGTGCAAGTAAGTATACATTTAAAGCCCTCAGCCCCTTGAAAGAGGCTCTGTGTGTTGGGTTGAACAGCTGGAGTTTTATCACAGGGTACTTAACCCCTGGGCCCCCAGCTTATTTTAACAGGTGACAGATAGCCTTCCATCTAGGCAGATCAGCTATTTTAGAAGAGGGTTGGCCAGCAGGCTGTCCTAGCCCAGTTTATTTGGACTGGAGAACCCTGAGCAGCTTAGATGGCTAATGGAGCCTCAACCATAACTGGCTTTCTGTGGTGCATCTTCTCACTGGGGATAAGTAGGAAGAGCCAGGAGCAGGCTGTCCAGGCAGCTGGCTCCTGCCTCCCGGCTCTTCCCTGAGTCTGCCCCTGCTACTCGCCCCAGATGGCCATCTTGTCTTCACTGCTGAGCAATGAAGTTAACAAATGTTTTAATTTCACTGCTGAGTAGCTCTGCAAAGGGAGAGGAAAGAGGATGGATAATGAGCTGAGTCAGATACTATTGCTGATAAAAGCTTCTCTTACCCACCAGCTCAAATTAGAAAGCCAGAGGGAGTTAGGACAATATGAGGAGAGCCAGATTTCCAGAAACCTAAGAGCAAAAGAAAAAGAAAATAGTCTGGCACATATTGCCAGCAAGAGAAAGCAGGATAGAAACAGACAGCCGGACGTGCTTCACTTACAGTGTCCGAATGAAAGAAAATGGAAGTAAAGATAGAAAAAATGGTTAGCTAAGGATAGTGGAGATGAGCGAGCACATGGATCCCATCACTGTGTCCAAGGCCGGTAGCAGGGTCTCTCCCCCAGAGATCCTGTCCTCATTGAGGGTATGAGAGAGTTGCCTTAAGCTGCCCTTGCTCACATAGCCAAGACTTGTTAGAGCTAGAATTTGAACTCAGGCCTTTTCTACAAAAGAGTACAAATCCATTAAAATGAACTTGTTAAAAAGGATGAAGTTTTGAAATGATTTATTCTTAACATGAAGAGATATAAACAGTTATTTCAGATTTATAAACCTCCTGAGATTCCATTATGAATTAACAAGCATTTATTATTCCTCCCTTCCACTGCCCCTCCCTCACCAAAACCAAAACCATAGTCACCTAATAAGTCCACGAAACAAATTCCCACGTTGGCCACGCCCATAGATGCATGGCTCTCATTCTGGAGTTTAAGTCCATCATCTCTGTGGCAAGAGGTGGGTGGGGCGATTTATCCTCAGTCTTCTGGACTTAGGGTTTATCATTGTATTAATCTGGAACTTGCTCAACACAGCACTTAGAACTGACCTAGAAGGATGATAGAATTTTGTTAGGGAGAAAGTAGCAGACAAAAATGAAGAACCACCTAACCCACAAGTGTTCATCGAGCACTGAGCCCGGTCCCCAGCCCTGTAAAGACTCTGCCTCTGCCCGCAGGGATCATGGGAACACAGATCTGGAGCTGTGGAGAGAGGGAGGCAGACTTAGAAACTGTCCACTTGTACTTCCTTTATACTGATGAGGAAACTGAGGTCCCAGAAGGGGGAGAAATCTGCCCAGAGTCACATCAGGAGTTAGTGGCAGAGCAGGGCTTCGCACCCAGTCTTCTTACTTCACATCCAATTTGTTTTCCTTTTTCCACTGAAATGAGTCACACTATTGGAAGTGACTGATGATCAAAGCCTGATGGATGATAAGTGTCAGAAGTTACAGTGTGGACTTCCATCTTATATCGAAGTCTTGTATTAATTCTATGCACGTGATGGTTTCCATGATGCAGGGAGTACAGAAGTCTAAATCCAGCTCTTGCCTGAGGAAACTTACAATCTAGCTTGAGATATTAAAAGTGAGCATATGTTGCAGATGAGATGGGATTGAATTGGGCCTTAAAGGTCAAGTAAAATAAGCAGAGGGTGACAGTGAGAGTGACGTTGCAGAAATGTAGCCAATAATCCTCAGTATAGAGGGTCTTTCTGAATCCCTCAAAGAACACTGTCCTCCAACTCAAGAAAACACTGGCCTGGACCATTTATCTGGAGTTCATGAACCTGAACCTTGGTCAGCTGTAGTTAGCAATGACACTTCTGGTCTTTTACATGGAGGTGAAAGGAGACTATTTCTGTGCTTAGGGTTTGGCTACAAAAGTCTTTCCCCCATAATTTCTGTCTCCAATAAAG